ACGCGAGTCAGCGTGACGCCCGATCTTTATATTTCATTAATGAAAATTGTTTAGATATTTATTTGAAAAATATATTATATGAAATAATGTAATCGTTAACGCTTTAATAATATTTGATGTTTGATATTTGAATGTTAAACACAGACACAATGTATACACAGGCTTATAGTACTAGAGTCCAGTTAAAATATGTAAATAATACTCGAAATAATATACTTATATATTTATATAAATATTATGCGTAAATATGTATTTAGTATATTAAATTTAATTTAATGAAAAACAGAAGAAACATATAGGAAGGAAGAAAGAAGAAAAGGAAAAAATATTGGAGAGGCTGAAAATATTTATCGAAAATAAACTTAATACATATTTACGCATAGTATGTAGGCCTATATAAATATATAAATAAGTATATCATTTCGATACATATTTACATGTTTTAACTGGACTCTCAACTAGGCCTGTGTATACATTGTGTCTATATTACTTAACATTATTCAATCTTATTGCTTTATTTAAATATTATCAAATATTATTAAACGTTAATGATTACATTATTTCATATAATGTATTTTTCAAATAAATATCTAAACAATTTCATTATCGAAATATAAACTCTGAAAGTAAATTTACGTAGATTAGATCAATGAAAATGGACATAGCAATCCTTATTATTAATCCTCCATTAACAACAATAACTTTTTCAATCTTCTAATCAAATTTATATAGCCGGAGTTAGTTTCGACGTAGGCAAACCTTGCTAAAAAAGTATACATTCTCCATCAAAAGGCTTTTCCTATGAATGGAATGACTTGTTCAAAGCAGGGGCGGCTCTAGGATATAATTTATGGGGGTGGGCGGCCTAAGATTTCCGACTGGGGGACTAAGTATTTATGGGGATAAGTATTTATGGGAGCAACTACTGAGCTGGGAAGAGTTGGTTATGTTGGTGGGGAGGGTGTGCCCTCCTCCCAAAACGATTTTTTTAAATTGGGTCCACAATTACCTACACCCGTAGGTAATTGTGGACACTTGACCCCCCCAGTGTAATTAATGCTTGTTAGCTAATTATATAATAATCTGATAACCTTGAATTATGCGTGTAATTAAAGACCAATAATAGTTTTTGATAATAAAAAAAAAACTTTGAGGTGTATAACTCAATCCACATTTTTTTAATTTATGAAAATATGCTTAAAGTCCACAATTCCCCACCCTTATCCTATCTCGTAATAATGAGATATTATCTCGTTAATACGAGATATTATCTCGTTATTACGAGATAATATCTCGTAACGAGATAATATCTCGTAATTATGAGATATTATCTCGTAATAACGAGATCATTATCTCGTTATTACGAGATATTATCTTGTAATAACGAGATACTTATCTCGTTATTACGAGATATTATCTCGTAATTACGAGATATTATCTTGTAATTACGAGATATTAACTCGTAATTACGAGATATTATCTCGTAATTACGAGATAAATATCTCGGTATTTTTTTTAGTTGGCAGCAATACGCTTCCATAGTATACACATAGATATAATTTTTAAAAATCTTTGCTTCAATCGATATCAGGCTTCCAAACAGGGAAATACTTGTATGAATTGAAAGTGAGACTTGATTGGTGGATACTATTCAATAACTGAGACTGGGTGGGAAAAGGCTATACAAAAGCCAGTATTGACAGTCTGTGTGAGGGTGGGGCATGGCTAGAAAAGTCAAGCCAGTGGTGTAGTGCAAGCATTTATATGAATCAATACTGTATAGATATGATTGGAGAGGAAGAAATATTGCACTTATCTTAAAAATATCGAATGTAATTATCAATAAAATTGATGCTTTTATAATTTTTGACATGCATTTTTGGTCTAGTTTACTCTTTTGACGATGACCCTTCCTGAGGGCATAGACCGCGCCTCCGAAACCCTGCCCGCCAATTGGCTAATTTTTTTTCGGGTGTGGAAAATTCTTTCTTTTCATGGTGCTTTTGTGAGTTTCGTCGTGTTTTTGGGAAACCCATGGTTGGGGCTGAGGTTTGAAAATTTTGTAAAATTTACACACATCAGATACTCAGAAATAGCACTCAAGTTTTTAAAACGCCAGCCTACTGAAAAGAATCACCCTGGTGGAAGGTTTAACTTTAATTTTGTTTAATTTGTTTAAAATTCAATTTATTATAATCTCCATGGCATGGCATGACAGTTTGTTTTTACGGCATCTGGCAGACCTACAGTATGTTTGTTGTTTTGTTGACGGTTAACTGATAGTCTGGTTTAAGAAGTTGATTTTTATGTTTGGACCGGATATTACGTTCGGAATTAGGAGAGATTCAGATTTTCGGAATACAATACATGTATTATTTTAAGTAGTATAATAACCATGTTTTAAATAACGAAATCGCTGAAGAAATATCATCTTAGCGTTCTCTCTTAGCGTGGGAACGATAGTTTTAACGTGTCATGTACAGGCAATGATCAGAATGTTTGCTTCAAATCTGCCCATGCGTGTCCATACGCATGCCCAGAATGATTTATCTATCTGGGATTTTCAACATGAAGTTGACAGTGTCTGTAAATCTGTACTGAACAGGGTTGCCATTTGGCCTTTTTGTTGGCCAGATTCCTCAAATCTGGCCGTATAAAAATTTGCCTGGCCGTAACTTTTGAAAAGTCATGGCCAAACTATTTGGCCGAATTTGTGAAAAGTTTACATTTCTTTTCAATATAGGCCTAATATAACTTGTTTTGGATATGTTGTTTTTGTTAGCTTAAATTCTATATTTGATTCTAATCATGTACCTTTGTTTGTACTTGCACTGAACACTTAATTTATGATCCCCCTTTAGTCAATTTGATGTAAGAGTTTATTTAAAAGATAACAGTTACATTTAATAATTTAAATTGTTCGGATGAAATATATATTTTTTATGAAGATAATCCTTGTTCAAGCTTAATGAAGACAGTTCAATGCAAGATTGTACCATATTGTGTGTCTTTGTATGTTCCATCCTAGTGGAGGTTCTATCTCTTTTGAATAAAAAAAAATTAAATAAATTAAATACTGTACTTTAATTAGTTTATTATTGCCCACTTGAATTGTATAGGCGTAGGTGCTGCAGTGTTCATGTAGAGCACCATATAAATGCTCGATGTGGTCATTCGGTCCACCGATGGCACCTCCAATTTCAAGCAAGTGTTGCAGAGACTTCTTCGAAGTTACTCTGGAGTTAGGTTGTACTTCAGGTTGTACTTAGAAATGAATTAAGTTATATACAGTAGTTAGGTAACACAAACTGGTGTTAAAACAAACCTATGAAAACTTTTAATAAATACTTTTTATTAAACTTTCTAAATTCGCCTCTGAATGTTATAGTCGCAGTACTTATAGATCAATGTTGCTATCAGAATTATATTCTTCATGATTCTAATCTTAACTTTTTCCTTCATATGTTGGTATTATAATTTATGCCTTAAAGATAGATCTTTTCTACAGATAATAGTAAATTCATGCTCAAAATTAATAGGAAGTCCATTACACTGTCTCTTGTCCTTCTGTGACAGACAAATTTTAGGTAAATGTAAACATACTGTATTTTAGAAACAGAACATTCCCTTTATTTTGAATTTGAACTCCTGCCTCATGGTCTCTGATATCGGAGTCCTGTGTGTATGTGTAGGACGAAACGGATTAAATTCTTTTGTCGCAACTGGTATAAGGCTATTAAATAAAAGTAGATAAAAATAGCTTTGTTGATTTACATGTTACATAAATGGGTTTCTTAAGTATATTTTTAGTTTTTATGCTGTTGTTATTTACTGTTATTCAGTCCTGTTTGAAATTGCCCCAGGTGGGATAAATAAAGAATTTTTTGAATTTCTAGTTCCACACACACCCAAAATTCTACTAAACATCTGTTTTTGAGTCGATAAGAGAATTCTACTCAATATTCATAGATGCGTATGATTTTTTAAGTTTATGATGTATGAGTCTTGAGTGAGATCCTCTGAATATAATGCAGTTTATGTGTGAGAGTTCAGTATTGACATAAAAGAAATTGAGAAAAATGTACTGTGTTGTTTGTATGTTTTGGCATTTTTAAATTTTACGGGTTATACTTACCCTCCTTGAGTTGAAAATTGAATAAAATACACTGTTTTTACGCTTCTTTGACATGTTAAGCCAAATCTTAATTAGACTAGGCGAGGAAATTTACCAACACTACCACCCATAGATCAACTGGTAATGAAAGTTACTAAACTTATTAGGAATGATTTTGTTGCAGTACTCGCTCTTGTTTACGTATATATTTTTTTAAATTTATATTTTCCACAAATATGATATTTGATTAATAATGATATAATTTATTTACTATTTTAAACTTCAGCACCATCAGTACCTGGTAACCTGATAGCGATAGTAATTCTTTGTGTTGTCATCCTGGTCATGCTTCCACCATTCATCTTCTTTTGCAGGTGATTTTTTTTTGTATATGTACAGTATCTGAAATTTATTGCTCTACTTCTCTAATGACAAACATTATTATTATTATTATTAATTATTATTATTATTATTACAGTATTATTATTATTATTATTATCCACCATTATTATTATCCATCATTTTTTATTGTTATTGTTACTTTACTTGGAAAAAAAAACTTTTAAAATGTAAACTGTTTATAATTACACTTACAAAAATTCATTTAAATTACTGCAGTATGCTGTGAAAATCATTTTCCCATGATATAGTATTTCAGTTTCTAGCCTCTTATAAAAATATTATATTATGCATATTATGCAACTTTGCTTAAATAAATGGTGATTTGAAATATTATGGTGGTGCTATGCTGAAGTTATTAAACTAATTTGAAGGGTGCTCCTTTCTATGTATGAAACTGTATAAATTAAATCAGCTTCATCTGTTAAATGATATTGGTTTTGTATTTGATCAGTCTGTAACATTTGACCAGCACATTAGTTATGTTCGCAAATCTACCCATTAATTTTGACTACACTTTGTTATTGCAGTTATCTTCTCTTTGTTCTGTTCACCTCTACCCTTTACCGGTTTTCTTAAGTTGTTTGTTGTTGATCAACTTAATATAGGTGTTCCGCACCTGTTTGGTCTTTTCTTGATTATTTTGATTTGAATGTTTTGTACTTTTGTTTGTCATGGCTGAAATTTAAATAAATAAAAATCAAAATTCTGCTGCCGGCATATGTACTTTAACCCTGAGACCATATTAGTCCCGTACTTAAAACCATCCATTGGCTTTCCCATAAACATTTAAGACACTTTCATTTCTCCAACCATCATATCTTGTTGAACTTGTTCCTTGTTATGCTGCATCTCATCGTCTCCGCTCCGCAATTATTATTATTACAGTATTATTAAATAGATACAATCAACACTAAAAACATTAGAACTGTCATTACATAAAGTAATTTTTATGAAACTTTTATGACATTTTTGTTATATTATGACATTTTGTTTTATTGATAATTTAGATTCTATTACTCTCAGAAGAACAAGAAGATGGAGCATTCCACGATGATAAACATGACTGATTATGATGATGTTGAATTACCTGAAACAACAAGAAGTGATACAAAGAATGAAAACACATTGCCGACCATTGGTGGTCAGGATAGTGGAGGTGATGGTGTTGCTACTGGTGATGCTGAAGCGCCACCGAAGGCGGAACCACAAAAGGATGATTCAGCTTACGAAGAGCTACACACATACATGACAGTAGACTCAGCATATACTAACTTGCAGAAGAAGTCTATTAATGTCACTCATTAAGGTGTGCAAACTGAAAAGATGTATTGTTTAAAGATGTGATTATTATAAAAACTTGAAAAATTGAATTCAATATTTAGATTGCTTACTTTACATAATATAGTTGCTTAGTGCATATCAATTTAAAGTTAGAAATGAGATAAAGTGCCCTCGTAAATTAAATGGCATAGACCTATACACAGTTCCTGTATAAGAAAGTATAGTACTGTACATACTCCAAGTATTGAAATACACGCCATCGTGTTGGGATTCAATATTTCGACATTAATTATGTCATCATCAGGAATGAAAGCATTATCCATATTAGCAAGCTTATGGTACCAAAAGTGTTTAACCAATCAAAACATTACCTCTAGTAGGTGACATAGCAGTGATTTAAACAAAAGATCAAAGCATTCTTACTCTAATGATCAAAGATACCTACAAAAACAAAGAAAGCTCTTTTGAAGCTCTGAGCCCATTGTTAAGCAAAGGGTGTAGTCTACGTATAGCGAACGCTTCTTTAAACAATAGGATAGACCAGTTTCCGGAGCTGTTAATAATGTTAGTACTAGAAAATATTAAACCTAATTTATTACTTACATTACAGACAACATTATCATTTTCAAGTATACCCTGTAATCCTAAAACATACAGACGACATTATCATTTTCAAGTACTGTATACCCTTTAATCCTAAAACATATTGGAATGCCTCACAAATGTTGTTGAGTGGGGGAGGGGGAGTAATTACATTGACATAAAACAATGCAGTAAAATATTTAAAATTTCTCTTGGATGGTAAAAAAAGAATTGATTGAGTAAAAAATTAAATTTGTATGCACAGACTATACCCAACATTATATGTATTTATTACAGGAAGGAGGAGCATATACTACAATTACAAACGGTACAAGATAACACTATCATCATGTATTCCAATCAGTAATACACACATTTTTATACCTGAATTTCTTTATAAAATTTCTGAAAATATTGAGTAAAATTGGCTAGTGTAAACAGGAAAACTATCCGTTAAAGTGATTCAACAATTAATGTAAACATTATTAATTTGGGTAGAGAAAGGTATGATGAGCCAACAATTAGCGTATAGACTTAATTGTTATAAATACTCGATTTATTATTTGGTTTTGATCTCCGTCTTGTAGCCTAATCTAACTGTTACAGGTTTTTGAGTAACTAAAAACCGTCGTTGACGGACAAGCATTTGCAAGTAACATTAAATACATTGCCTATGTTATTTTCTGTTGGAATGTTGCAACCAGGATAATCTGGCTTCAAACACAAAGAAAAATTATTTTATGTGAAGTATCATTGAAATGGCTAGAACTAAACAGCTAAGCTTCAATTGCTTTCACTGGCCAGTACTGTTTTTGAATTCATTTTTGTTTTACAGATTTAATTTTAGTCAACCTTGCTGAAAATTATAGAAACAGATTGGCTGATAATTGGTACCATAGTGGTTTGAGCAGCACTCGAATGTACCGTAAATAATGGTCACCATAAATATTAGTGTGTACTAAAAATATATGTAATATTATAATTTGTTTATTTTTTACACTGTAGTTACTGATCAATTACTTATGGAAAAATAATATAATTTGTTTATTTTTTATACTGTAGTTACTGCTGTATCAACTCAAGGCCCAGGTTAGTTTACAAACATGTCAGTTACTAAAGGCCAAATAAAAAATTACTCGTTTAGCGTCACATCACAACACAATTTTAGGTGGGGAGGGGCGTTTTTTTGTTTTGTTTTTTTTTTCTTCTTAATTCTACAGTATCAGTAATCAAATAAAAAGTGTTAAAATTAATCATTTTCAATAGGCCTACAATAAATATTACACCTAGTTGGTGAAATCATTGTTTTAATTCATTTAAAATAGGTCTGTACTTATTTTGATTAGAATTTCCTGGACAAATTCATTTTTTTTTTTAATTTAAAAAAAAATCAACCTAAACTTTTTTATTTTGCTTGAAAAGTTAGGTAGGGGTGGTGACACTAAACAAGTGCCTAAGCAAGTTAAATAGAATATGGAGTGGAGTTAAATACCTTAGTGGTTAAGATTCTTGCCTTCTAATAGGTGCTGGGCTCAATTCTTGTGACAGCAGGACTTTTTCTCATGACTTTAAAGAACACCACTCCATTAGGCTCATTAAGAGACATTTATAATATCTGGACTTTTAGGAAAAACTCGGCGATGGCAAACAAATACCAGACCGTATATTGAAGGGACGCAGAAGATTTGAGGGTAACCTTCAATGAAGTGACTAGCACTAGTCTGTACTACTGTATTCAAGTTTCTAAACACTTAATTTGCGAATGAATCCCAACAAAATAAACTTTTCAATTTTGGCACCTGTTAACCAACGGTATATCATAACGTGCCACAATAACTGAGGTCGTTTATAACATGTGGGCCTACCGGTATGCAGTAATCAGTCTCAACACGTCAAAACTTAAATCAGAGAGATTTGACGGGATGGAACTAATACAAGTTAAATAGCGGAAATATTGTTGTGAAGAGAGGAGGACACTTGCATATAAACCCTTATTATTATTCGACATAAAACTTATAAATTCCGCGCTAAAACGTACATTTTTTGTAACTGTGGGGTATAGCTAGGAATACGACGGGAAAAGATATTTCTGCTCGGAATAACATCACCTTGTAAATTATGATACAGCCAAATCAAAATTTAGACATCTCACATAAAGTAGAAATGACATACTGGTAAGCGTGATGCAATATTTTTTTATTTTTCATTTTTTTGGTCCTATTACTTTTAAAAGAAAAGTAGAAATGAGCATTCCAAAGAGATAATCATGCCATGCGTAATGATGCGCCTAACCCAGTAGGTCTACCTGGGTTATGTAGGCCGCTATTTGATCCGATGCTGCAGCGCCACTTATTTTTTTTAAAGAGTGGGATATCTTATGGATTTCACAAATACATGTATTTTAAGACATACTGATTTACGCTGTATATTTAGATAAGTCAAATCTATAATGTATGCATTATAGATTTATATGGTCGGAAATGTTTATTATACAAATAGACGTTTTTAAGAATCAATCAATTATTAGTTGCTTCAATAAAACAGTTTCCAATTTGCACATTGGTTCTCAGTAAGTGAAAATCTATTATTGAAAAGCATTTCGATAAATATTTCGTACTAATATATATCAAAATCAACCAAGAATTGTTCTATTTTCCTTATTATAGGCCTACATGTTTATGCACAATCACTGGTTATATA